ATTCTAAAACAATATAAAACATTTTAAAATAAAAATATTGTTTTATTTTTATTATAGATAAAAATATTTAATACAGTAAATATGTGACTAAAGCACATTTTTGAAACGAACCAGAATCTACTACTTTAAAATAATTCTAATATCACAGATCGACATGATACATCAACCAAAAATGAAAACAATAGCAGTCAATTGAAGACACTAAGTTGGCCTTCCCAGGTAAGATTGAAAAGCATAGGAACAGAGCACAGTAAGAGTGCAAAATATGGGATCTACAAAAACAATGTGGGCTGTGAAGCAAGAAGCATACCATATTTTGTAACCATATCAGTACAATGGTCTCACTTGATTAACCTGAGCACCAGAATTTTCTCTCTTTAACAGAGATGTAAGTTCTCATAGGTCTGATGATGTTCAAAGGCAGAACAAGGTCTTAACAGTAATTAAGTGTGAATTTCCAGAACATCTGGCAATGCAAAACAGTTAGGAAGCCTTAAAACCCAACATTCTTGATAGCTAGGTTTTCTGAGTGAACCTATATAGTCTTAAAAACTTGAATATCTAAGATTTGTGATTTTGCATTCCAGTCAAGAATTGACTTCAATCTAACCTCCTAGACTCTGATTATTTTAAAAGTGTCTACTGAACATTTTCATCATTGTAAGTTGATGGCATAATTAGCTTAGCTTTTGTGTCTGCCTCTTGAGTATTTTTCTATAATGAGTATATTGATACCTTTAGTAAAGGTGGAAGGTGTTGTCACTATAAAATTAAAGAATAGAAGTTGATTGAGGCATTGTGAACATAAAATGAGGAATTAGTAGGAATCAGGAACTGTTATTTCCTCTTATAGTATATCGGGGAAGTTCAAAAATGATGAGAAGTCCCCTCCCCCACCTTTCCCCATGCAGTTATGTACACAGACTGCAAGTTGCACCAGAAAAAATGTCTGTCCCTAACTTTTTGTACCCTCTATGGCACATGTGTCAAGCACATTGTCTGGTCTGTCACACTGAAGGCTTGTAAGACTTTCAATACCGGGGCAGCATAGTTACATTCACACAATCTTACAATTACAAACGGCCCTTTGAAGGCATCCATAAAGCTGATGTGACCCTCGGCGAAAATGAGTTTGATACCCTGCTCAACGAACTTGTTCTTATATTGAATGTAGAGGACTGCTTGAGACTGAAAGAAGTAGTCTGTATTTTTAAACTGTCATTTTCCAAGTATGAACTGACCGTTTTGACTCATCTGAGGGAGTTCTCAGATTCTGAAAACTACTAAGACAAACTGTTTTCCAGGGGCCAATGTGAAGCTTCTTAAGGCCATGTTATAGCAGTGGAAAAGGCCAAAGGAAAAAGAAAGTGACCAAAAATACTACATTTCTGGTCGCTACCTGCCTAGAACTAAAGCTAGAAAACTACAAAACCATGGCATCATGGAAGAACAGTTGTGGCTATCTGGAGAAACTCTTGATATCAATGGATTTGGTTCCCACCCCATTTCCAACCATTGCATAATCTATCAGACATGTTCTCCAAATTTCTGTCAGTGATTTGAATCTGGGGAACAGGGTGAACTCCATCTGTCAGCTCCAGCTTCTCATGCAGGGACATGAGAGAAGTTTCCCACAGGATGGTAAAGCATCCATGTGTCCCTAGGCAATGTCCTTGCATATGGCCAATTCTCTCACACCAGAAGCGACTTGCAGTTCCTCAAGTCACTCCTGACATGAAAAAAAAACTCTTCAAAACCCAGATTTTCCAATAAACTTTTGTCATACTTTTGTTATTGCTTACTGCAACTAAACCCAAGTATATGTAACCAAACATAATACATATTTTTTACTTTTTGAAATCTGTCTTTCTTCCTTCCTTTTGGTGCATCATTCTTATTGTTTCTAAATTTATGTCATAAGCTTCTTGGGGCAAGGACTTGGAGTTTACTGCAAGTATTGGGAGAATGCAGCCTCTTTAATTATTGTTTGTCTGCAGCTCCCGTCATTCCTCACCAAAGGCAGAGACAAGAAAAGCATTTCAACTACTCACACACCTTGAGAGTAATTAAGAATCTACTGGTGCATTATGCTTGTCCAGGAATCATTGTCTTTTGTTAACTTCGTAGAGATTTGGGAAAGTAACTTTCAGGATTCATAACACAAGCCAATATAGCTAGTATCCATCCTGGTTTAGAGATTCTGGAAACTATAGTCCACAAAGCAATTTTATTTAGTTCTTGCTTCAGGAAAGCTCTATTGTCTATATTTAACTTAGTTGCCCATATCTAAGGTGGCTCTGAGAAGACAGCAATGCAGTGCCATTACTATCCTCATCCCCTATATTCTACTTCAGAGCTTAGTTGTAGAAAATTTGTTGTTGTGTAAAGAAAAATACAATTCCTTCCTTATAAGCTATCTCTGGTATCAGTTGTGTCACAAAAATTAAAGCAACTTAAATGTGGGAAGTATATGGCTACCAACCATTTTGTTGGGAGAATAATGCTAGTGCTTACTTCCTGAGGCTTCTGACATGGGGGAATGCCAAAAGAAATATAGTGCTGCCTTGAAGAGCCATTACAGTTCAGCAGTAAGGTGGACTTCAGTAACTATCAACCTAGAACAGTGGTTCTCAACCTGTGGGTCCCCAGGTGTTTTGGCCTACAACTCCCAGAAATCCCAGCTAGTTTACCAGCTGTTAGGATTTCTGGGAGTTGAGGGCCAAAACATCTGTTGAGAACTACTGACCTAGAAGAAGGAAAACACAGAATACATTGGTTCATGGGGTAACCTTATCAATGAAAAGTCAGAATCTAGATAATAATCCTCGGCCTTCTTTAATTTCATTTTTTCTGGTGATTGTCATAATTTCATGTGTGTTCTGGATATGGGCTTGTTGTTCTACACTGGTAGTAAACTAGTAATCCATTATTGGAAACATGGTTAGAATTCTTTATCACAGTTATGGTCACGAACCTGGAATTACACATCTGTAAGTAAAGGTAAAGATTTCCCCTGACACTAAGTCTAGTCATATCCAACTCTGGGGGTTAGTGCTTATCTCCATTTCTAAGTCTAAGAGCCAGTGTTGCCTGTAGACATCTCCAACATCTGTAACTGATATATATTCATAGTCATATGTGTAGCACTGTTGTATTCCCCTTCACCTGCATCACCAGTTATCGGCCACACTGAGAAAAGGAGATCTATTTTCCTGGTGTTTGGAGCAAAGGTGGATGATATAGACACATCCTTTTCACTAATATATGAATCTACAAAAATCAGAAACAGAACCCTGTTAAAGGTCCTCAGCACAATCTCACTTGATGCCAGTGGGGTGTCTTACAACCTTGCCCCAGCCACCAGCAGAACAGGCCTTCTTCTCTCAGTGTCTGGTAAAAAAAAAGGTTTGGGAGGCCAGGAGGCATTACTTAGTTATGCACAACTAACTATGTATCCCATGTAGAATTCTACCATGATTCTGATATAGGTCAGATCCACCCCTCATATGTTGTAATGTAGCATTTTATCCTGTGTAACTGAATTTCAAATTGAAAATGAAGCAATGGGTGGTGAGTGATTCAACATAAGAGATAACAGTACTTTGTGTATATACTTGTGTATGTTGACTTCATGTATAAATTGAGGATAGTTTTTTGGGGTCAAAGTTATGGATTTTAATATAAGCGGATAAGTTGAGAGTCATTCCAAAGACAGGAGAAAGCACCAAAGCCACTTCAGAAAGTCAGCTGCTCCTGGCTGCTACCATTATTCCACTCAGGTATTCAGAAAGTTCAGAAGCTATGTTGCGGTAGAGAGGGGAGAGGATATTGGTGCTTCTTTTAGGTTTTCCCAGGATGAACTAAGTTCTTGCCCTTTACCATTAAGAAATTAAAAATAAGAGTTTAGATGCAACAAATACATTGGCCTTGTGTTGGTCAACTCATATTTTTGTGGTTGTTATTTCCTTAAATATCTAGACATATGCATGAGTATAGTGCATGTGCAATTCTTAATAGAAAATGAAACTGTCTCAGTAGAAAATAAACTTTGATTCAGTCTGGGTCCCTCCAATAGATTTTGGGCTATAAGCTCCATGAACCTCAACTATCATGTCTGATGTTTCTGATGTTTCATGACTGTAGGCCGAAACATATGGAGAGACCCAAGCTGCAAGTGAGTCTTCCATGCCCTTTCCAGTCTGCCATTGTCACACTGTAGATTGAAACAATTCTAGGAGAGTCAGATGAATTATTTTGTCATAGAAAAGGCATGACATTTCACATTAGCACTTTTATCTCCATCCCTTCTAAGCAAACATCTCATAATTCACCTCAAATAATGCTGCTATCACTCTCTTCTTCCTTCTGAACATCCTCTCCTTCTTTTTTCTGTACTGTATATCTCTGAGACATGTGTTGTGCTGTATAGATTGAATGAAGCCACCCATTATACTCCCACACCTTTGGCATTTGTAAATTATTTGATCAGTGAGAGGAAGCTGGCAGTAGGAGTGCAAAACAAATGGAGATGCATAGTCTTAACATGTGCACAGAGTCAGAAATGCACATGCTCTCTTTTCCTCTGCTGATATGAACTGGTTGCTTGGCTACCACTGGTAAGAGCACAGAAGCTACATTTTCCCACCATGCTATTCTTCTACTTCCCTCCTCCCTTATATAAAGCAAGAAGAAAAAAGCCAAAGCAATATAAAGGCATCATTGTGGCACATTCTCACAATATGGAACTGTTTTAAAATCACCAATGGGTTAAAGTGTCAGAATAAGAGTAAAATGTCAATAATAATAATATTATGATAATATGATAAATATTTGACAAAGTACAAATGTGTTCATTTGAGAAGATAAACTTTAACTCGCTGGATAGACAGATGGGGTCTTCCCCAAGGGCAGTAAATTTTTTTTTAAAAAAAGAGAGAATTAAGTTGCAGTGCAGGAAATAAAATACAGCAAACAAATCTATACTGCACTTCATCTTACAGGACCTGTATCGCCCACTCTCTTCGGATGATTTGGATTCAGTAGGAGACTCTGTGTAAAAACAGAAAATGGAACAGTGCTTAATGGTTTGTGACTGGGTGAAAGTTTAACACTTCTTAAGAATGTAGTTAGTTGCTAATCAATATTAGTGAATTGCACAAAAAGTGTTTTTTCCTATTTTGATATTAAAACACCGGCGTTTGTTCATTTATATTATGGTGACAATTTGTTAATACGATATTGCTTAATTTCTATGATAAAGTACAGGCAGTCTTCCTCAACCTAGTAGTATCTCTCATTTGCAACCAGTGTGATAATGCTTCATGCTGGCTAAGAATGATGGGAGATGTGGTCCAGCCCATCTGGAGAAATCTGGTTGGGAGACGCTATGTTAGGGGATGCTTTTTTTAAAAAAAAATCAAAATTAAATTGTGCATACTTTTTGAAATGAAATAAATAATGCAAAAAGGTGCTATTATTTTCCTAAGTGCTCTGTGTGGGTTGTATCCATGATTAGTAGGAGCAGAATAGAGATTAGTGTGAGGGATCTGCCAGTAGGGCTAAACCTCCTAAAAATCATCTGAAGGATCTCTAATGTAGGTCACAGAGGGCCCTTCCACACAACCCTATATCCCAGAATATCATGGCAGAAAATCCCACATTATCTGAGTGTGTGCTCAGATAACCCAGTTCAAAGCAGATATTGTGGGGTTTTCTGCCTTGATATTCTGGGATATAGGGCTGTGTGGAGGGGTCCAGAGTTGGTAGATGGAGGGACAAAAAGTCTAAGACATCAGTTGAGGCAATTTCCATCAACATCCATCCCCCTCACACTAGTATTGGATACAAACCCATAACATTATGCTTGCTTACAAAACAAACTTGGGCCTTCCACATAGCCCTATATCCCAGAATATTATGGCAGGAAATCCCAAAATATCTGCTCTGAACTGTGTTATCTAAGTCCACACTCAGATAATGTGGGATTTTCTGCCTTGATATTCTGGGATATAGGGCTGTGTGAAAGGGCCCCCAATTTGAGAAAGGAAATTTGCAAATTTGCTGGGAGAGCAATTAATAGACCATAAACATGTTTAGAAAAGAATAGCCAGCATAGACACAGGCCGCCATTCTGCACCTTTTTTGGTTAAATATTGGTAGCTTTCTAGTTCGTTCTTGCTACAGTAAAAATGGATAGCATGAACTGAATTCGGAAAGAAAAATGACCATGATGTTAAAGCTGATAAAATAATGAATTACATGAAGTAATGGATTGCAAGAATTTTTTTCTACATATTATCTCTGAATGTATATATGGGAACAGGGTTTCTAAGGCTCAGTTGCAACAAAAATGAGTCCGGTTTTCTCCTCCAGTTTCCTTATTGAAAATTTGAATCTCCATGTTGATTGAAATATTTTATGCTAAAAGCAATTTCTCCACTGTGAATTTTTCCTTCCCATTGTGATTTTGTGTATAATGAAATGCACAACCCATTCTGGAGTAAAATTTCCTATAGATGTATAGGTTTTAAAGTGGTTATTTTAAAGAGCTATACAAGGGAAAGATCTGGTGGACATGTTTTCTGTGAAAGCCACACAAAGTAAATGTAGTTTTTAAAAGAGAAATTTCCACTGGCTTAGTCTTTAGATAGCTCAACAACTTTGTGACAATATATATGTACTGTACTAAAAGTTTGTATTCTACTGTTTTGGAAAACAGTGTTCTTACTGCAAAATATCATGGTCTGAATAAATGCTTGCTTGATTTTTATTCAGTATTTGTTAACCAGGATGTAATTAGGTGTAACATTTCAAACAGTTGTATTGACAGTTGACCTTTGCATTATTAATTTTCAATACAGTTAATAGTTGCAACTACACCTAAATGCCTTTTGAGTGCCGTGCTACTTCCTTATCATTTAAAAATATTTAGGATTTTTAATTTGCACTCTCTTTTAAGAAACAACACCAAAAAAATCTGTCTGTAGTATAACTTATGGTATGTATTCTACTTTGTTACCTGGTGAATGAGCTTATACTGACACTAGTTAATTTTCTAAAAAAAAAAAAACCTACAACAACACAGTTTCTATGAATTGTTTTCTTTCTGAAAAACCCTAAAGGGCTGGCTTATTTATAGTTCCTCTTTTCAGAAGAAACTATATATTAAAGTACTGTATTTTAAAAGGCAATTTGTCATTACATTTAAAACAGACAGAAGGAATGTCATATACCAGTTAGTCCTGGAACAAGGATAATTAATTTTAAAGGGATCTCTCTTGGAAAACCTACAAATTGACAAGTTTTTTTAAAAATACTGTAATTCGATTTTCTTCTGTTATTATAGACTTAGACTAATTTGAAATTTGCTTTATCCAGTAAGAATAGGATTCTTAGTGCTGTTGCATTTAAAATTCATGGCTGTGGATTTGCTAAGTAGGAAAGGGTATATTTTTAAAATTGTTACTTAATTGGTAACTAAGCACATTTCTGGTCAGAATTCTCAAAGACATAAATGTAAAGAAAAAGTTTGTGAGCCCCTTAGTATGGTCACATAATTGCAATGTAAAATGTTATGAGATCTTGATAACCCCATAACCCAAGAATAAAGAACCAAGAAGAGGGGACCACTCCTAAATAGAATGGCTGTGATCATGAAACCTCTCTACAGTTGGCCTTCCACATATATGGTTTTCACTTTTGCAGGTTTGATTATTTGCAGGTATGATTTAATATGTACTCTCTTGAGGAATCTCTAGATCAGTGGTTCTCAACCTGTGCGTACCCAGATGTTTTGGCATTCAACTCTCAGAAATCCTAACAGCTGGTAAACTGTCTGGGATTTCTGTGAGTTGTAGGCCAAAACACCTGGGGACCCACAGGTTGAGAACCACTGCCCTAGATCCTCTAGCATAATTCTGAATTAAACATTCGTCAGATATTGACTATAGAATTGTGCTAGAGTACTTAGAAATTCATAGAGAGAACAGTTCTCTAGGCCAGTGGTTCACAATCTATGGGTCCCCAGATGTTTTGGCCTTCAACTCCCAGAAATCCTAAAAGCTGGTAAGTTGTAGGCTGAAACACCTGGGGACCCACAGATTGAAAACCACTGCTCTAGGTATTATAGGTTCTCCAACACAATTCTATGGTCAAATTTCCACAAATGTTTACCAGCTGTTAGGATTTCTGGGAGTTGAAGACTAAAACATCTGGGGACCCACAGGTTGACACCCACTGGTCTAGGTCCTTCAGTATGAATTCTGCTGGAAGCTAGCTCCAGGATTGCACTGGAAGACCTAGACATTTCTAGAGAGAACATTTGCATCAAATCTGCAAATAATCAAATTCACAGAAGTCACACCCTTAAAAGTGGAGCGCTGATGGTAATTTGTCCAAGCTCTGTTTTGAATCATATGCAATGCACTGAAGCTCTCTCTGTGTTCTAAGAGATCATTTTTCTCAACTGTTGAAACTGATATTTTTATCAAATTCACCACATGCACACCTGTTTCATGTAATTTTATCTCAGTGTGATTGTATACCAGTGTACAGGATTGCATGAAAAATAACAGAAGTATTCCTATTGCATCCAGAATTGTGTACTTCAAAGCTGCTTGTTATTCTATGCGCACACATATGCATGCACACACAATGTATGTGTGTGTATTTAAATGCCTCCTAATGTAGATATTTGGGCATTTTTATTTGCATTTGTTTAAATTAATATCTATGCAGCAAGATATAGACAAGAATGTACTAGTTATATTGTGTACTCATCTAGTGTGTTGTGATATTACAAAGTGATCATTGTTGTTCCCATTGTATAAATAATCTTCATTTGGTTTCTATTGTCCAGTAAAAGAAAACAGCAGTATTGTGAATGCTTATTGATCAAATAAGTTTACAGTTTTATATACTGTTATTTGAAATACTATTTTCTTTTTAATCTTTCTCTCTCTTTGTTTCAATATAATTCTTAAACTGCAAAATCTGTAAAACATTTTACATAATGTGCAATTGAAAATAGTTTTGCTTTTCTAATCAATCAAGTAATCCACTTTCAGTTTTGTACCATCAGTGCAATGCATTGTATGTTTATCTTGTGTTTAATCTTGCCATACTTGACTGCCTTTGCTGGATTTTATGCCGTGAGTCGTGTAATAAATAAATGGGAAAATCTGTTTTAACAATTTAGTGAACTTCTTCTGAAAATGGGAAAACTAGACAAAACTCAATTTCCACACTAACTTAGCCACATTTTTGTGGTCAACAAGTATGGAAGCCATAAATCTTAACTGGCAGTTTGAAATATGAATACATTCAGTGGTTTTTTAAATGTAAATTTGTGGGTACTACCTTAAAAATACTTAAAGATGGAATTTCTAGTGGGTACTTGGGATAATAATTTAACCAAACCATATTACCACATATCCTTGTTATGGCAAATAATAGACCTGATGTCAGAATGAGGAATGCATTTGATATATTCTTGAGTTTTGTTCTAGTCACATATCAACTTGCTTTCAAAAGCACTATCCTTGCATTTCCTATTAGAAAAACCTTAAAAGACTTGAGTTATGGAAATGACATTGGAGAGAGGTTAAGGCCTACTGTTTTAAAATATTCTGAGACATGCTTTCTCATTTTTCCAGTGAGAAACACAGTAACAGAAAATAGTCAATTTTTGCTAGTTAAAATGCCCTCTGTTTACATGAGCAAAACGTTTTTGAAATAGATTCAAGGGGGTGATAAAAACTACTTCAGGCTAGTTTCGAGTCTTGGTTTTCTTATCAAAGTGTTGGTATTCCACCAATGGTTCTTTTATCCTAAGCATTTAAAATATTCAGAGAATCTCAGCTTTTGGTGAGGATGTATATAAGAATTAAGTCTAACTCATTAATTATATGCATACATTCTAGGCCAGTGGTTCTCAACCTGTAGGTCCCCAGATGTTTTGGCCTTCAACTCACAGAAATCCCAACCAGTTTACCAGCTGTTATTAAACTGGATGGGATTTCTGAGAGTTGTAGGCCAAAACACTGGGCACCCACAGGTTGAGAACCACTGTTCTAGTCACTGAAAGGACAGCAAATATATGACAGAGATAATCATGTAGCTCAGGATGCATCAGTAGAATCAGTGCAGGTAGACACCACAACTCCACAGCCTTCTAATGGCTCAATGTTGTGGAATCATGGCAACTGTAATTTTACAAGGTCTTCAGACTTCTCTGCCAAAGAGTGCTACAATTCCAGTCATTCCATAGCATTGAGTCATGGTAATCACAGTGGTGTCAAACTTCATTAAATGTAGATGCATCCTTAGTCTTCCCTAAGCTTACACTCCCCACTTCCAACTTATATAGCCAGTGAGGGGAGGTCATGGGACATGTGGTCATGGGAGGTATGAGGGAGAAAGAAAGTACAGGATCACTAAGTGATCATTTAAAAAAAACAAATTAAAGCAAACACACATTGTTCAGCAATACTGGGCCCTACATTATTTTAATCTTTTCTTCCCTTACTTAATTACAATTTTCAAATGCCCTGCTGAAATGGATAGTCAATCACTGCAATCACTAAAAAGAAAAGAAAAGTACGGTTACATAGGCTTAAATCAAGAGAACATTCACAACTGTTGATTTACCATGCTGCTACTGATTCAGTGGCTCTACAGTAGATGGGATTACAAAGAGTGGAAAGAATAGGGAAGTGAATGACACTGTAATCTAGGAGAGAAAAAGTAGTGAGTAATTACTAAATGCATACTTGGAAAAGAAAGAGGCAGGGTAAAATATCATTTAAAGAAATGCCAAATACTGTAAAGGTGGAAATAGGAAAGTTTACACTGGTATTTTATACACCCATCCACCCACCTTTCTCTTGAATTCCTGAAAGAAAAATAAGAGGATGGATCTCAATGCTGATGAATGTACTGTCTTCTATTTTTATGGGGAATTTATTTAACATATAATGCCTCCCACTATGGTTTGAGTGTTGGACCTGAGTTCAACTCTCCACTCCACCATGGAAACCCATGGGTTGGTCTTGTGCAAGTCAAACTGTCTTAACCTCAGAGAAAGGCAAAGGCAACCCCGTCAGAACAAATTTTGCCAAGAAACCCCAGTGGTAGGTTTGCCTTGAAGTACCATAAAACAGAAATTATTTGAAGACACACATCATTAATGTCTAGAATATTGATATTCTAGACTAACATACTCATGTTAGTCTAGAATATCAATATGCAAAGGGATCTTGTTGCACCTTTGAGACTAACTGAGAGGAAGAAGTTGGTAGCATAAGCTTTCATGGGCTCAGTCTACTTCCTTAGATGCATGGAGGATTTCCCTGTAGATAAGCAAAATAATGACTCTTCAGATTAATGTCTGCATTTTTCAGCCCTTAGCATGGTTTAGAGAGCCAGTTTGGAGCAATGGTGTGAATGTTGGACAATGACTCTGGAAACTAGAGTTCAAGTACCTGCTCATCCATGGAAACCCACTGGATAATCTTGGGAAAATCACATTTTCTCAATTTCAGATGAAGGCAGTGACAAATATCTTGCCATGGAAACATTGTAGTAGGATCACCTTAGGGTCTCCATAAATCATAAATGACTTGAAGGCACCACCATGATGCCTAGAAGAGACTTGGTAGTCATTGACAAAATTGCCGAACAGCTCAGTCTCTTTACTGGCATTTTCTGTTAGCATTTTAATAGAATACTCAGCATTAGTTTTCTTTTTTGAAGGAGTTGGCATTTTTAAAAGATGATAAATTTGTGTGCTCTTGAAACTAGTTTGCTAGTTTTTAATTCTCTATATAAACAAGATTTTCAGTAGCTGCGCTGAGAGCATCTAAAACAACAGCTTTACACCTACACAGTTTGCCCTATCATTTCTTTATGCAGGCTGTCAGAGATCTTTGCAAGCCTCACAAGCACAAATAAAACTCCTTAAAGGCTTGACAAGGGTAATCTGACAATACATTTTACTGCCTTGGAAACAAACATTATGGAGCAATCTGTTAGTTGGCTATGTTCTTGA